AGAGAGACAGAGAGAGAGAGAGAGAGAGAGAGAGAGAGAGAGAGAGAGAGAGAGAGAGAGAGAGAGAGAGAGAGAGAGAGAGAGAGAGAGAGAGAGAGAGAGAGAGACGTGAAAAAACTAAATTCACACTTTTTGTTTGTGGAAGTTTTTTTTAGGTCTTGAAAGTGCATGCTTCTGTTCTCATGACACCAAAACTCTGCAAAATGTTTTTTATAAAACCAAGCGATCTTGCTGGTTTTACTCGTACAGCCCGTAACATTGCGTGTCACAATTGCGTGTGTTTGTCTGTATTCCCCGTGGCAAGCTGCCAGCTCCTGTTGGACCTGGCATCTGTCATGGTGCCAGCAGGTCGCAGAGGCAATAAAGCCACTGCCAGGCCCACCCTGCCACAGTGCGGACCTTAGTAGATTTGGGCAACACCGGCGGCAGGAGAGCTGGTGAAGACCGGGATGTCGGTTTGAATTCCCCCTCTCATTACTCCACACAGTATCTCCACCCTCTGCTGGTACAGGGAATAGTGCAGGGACGAGGACCAATACTTCAGTATGAGCGTAAGGAAAAAGTAGAAGCACGAAAAAAGATGCTCAGTTACAGTGATAAGAGGCATTGTAATGTGTTGGTTGCACCACTTTTTGCTGATGTCCACAGACTTGACAACAGCATTGAACTTTATTCACTCAGAAAGCCACCGCAGAGTCTGCATGTACAAATACTGTCAATGCACAGGCAGGGCTGCAGAAACACACAATCACAGCATCACAGTAGAGGGTTAAGTGTGTGTGTGTGTGTGTGTGTGTGTGTGTGTGTGTGTGTGTGTGTCAAAGATAAGCCATTGTTTACCTAAATTTGTCTCTGTTATCAGCTGCTGTTTGCGTAACAGGTCAAAGGCCTTCTGAGAGTAGTGTGTGTGTGTTGTTTGTGTGTGTGTGTGTGTGTGTGTGTGTGTGTGTGTGTGTGTGTGTGTGTGTATAGGTACAATGCTTATGTGTCTTTCTGCCTGCTAGTGTTTGGGGGCGTGTGTGTTTATGCAATTGCTCTGTTTGCACAGGTACAGGAGTAGTCGTGTGTGTGTGTGTGTGTGCGCGCAAAGGTATGTGTTGGTGTGTGTCTTGGGGGTGTAACCCGTCCCTCAGGGGAGCCAATGAAAGAAACTGTTGGAGCAAAAACCTCAGGTTTGCAACCCCCCTCCCCCCCCTAAACCATCCCACTACACACACACCCCCGCCTCGTTACCTCCTCTATCCCGGCTGTCAAGTAGTGGCAGTGCAGCAAAACAAAGCGAACCACGGTCAGACATGAGCGTCCGCCTTCTCCACTAATGAGGGAGTGTTGCCTTGTACCAACGAGTGTGTGCAAGTGTTTGCGTGCACCTGCTAACCCGTCATTCACTATGCCTGTTCTCAAACTTCTTTCAGATCCTGGCTCCGTCAGAACTCAGGTGAGCTGCTGCTGCTGTGTGTGTGTGTGTCTGTGTGTGTGTGTCAGTGTTGATGTGTACTGTCTCTGTCTGCCGTTCGCCTCCTCTCCAAAGCTTTGCTGCACTTTGAAGACTGCTCTTTCCTGCAGCTATTTGCCAAAGAGACTTTAATTGACTTTATTTGCTGCAGCCTTCCTGACGCCACAAACAAGATTTTTTTTTTTTTTTTTGCAGATTTTTAACCTGTGGTGTCCCTGCTGTTTTTGAAACTGCTGTGTACTTTACTGCTACAATGTTAAAAATATCCCCAAGCAGGAAATTAGACTGGGCTAACAACCAAAAGCAAATAACTGTAGCTAAAACTGCATTGTGCAGGTAAGACTTTTATGCAGAAATGATCCCATCGCATCAGCAAAAAACACAAGACTGGTGTGAAATTGATAAGTGTCCCTGTTGCTCTGATTTTATGTTTATTTATGCACCTTTATTTTGCTAGGTGCTGTCTTGCAATGAGAAGTGTTATTTATGCAGAAAACATGCCCAACACAAATTCAAAATGAAACATGCAATCTCTTGCAGAAACGTTTCGACTAACTGCTTTGATGCAATGCACACAAAACGACTAAATGACTACAGTGTGTTGAATGGTTGTTGTTGTAGTAGTAGTAATAGCAGTACTACTATTTTGTGTGGAAATAGTTATATCCCACTGGCTTCATGCAGTTTTCCACCTATGCCAAAACTTTCTGTATTTGCCCCTAAAAATCACACCAGTGTAACTGCTCTCTGCAGCTTTTAGATATTTCGGCTACTGCGGGACACACAGTAGTTTGCCTGTGGCGGCAGTACATGCGATATTTGTTTTAATATGTTATGAAGTGCCATCCATGTCAGGCCCGTTGCATGTGGGCTTCATAGGGGAAATAGCAGGCTGGGTTATAACATGAATTCTGTGTGTGCAGCAGTTGAGAGGTTTATTGGTTGGAGTGAACACATTCAGCTCACTGAGTGTAGCTAATAATTGATTTAGTTTGTTATAAGGCAGTAAGGAGAGTTCAGTTTGGATGGCTTGACGATATTGACTTTCACCATGGCAGACATTTGTGTGTGCTTGCGATGGAGAAACTGATGAATGGACTAATGATCAGTGGAGAACAAGATGTTTGTGTCTAAAGGTGCTTGTGTTTGTTCGTGAACATGCATGTGCCTGTTTCAGTGTGTAACTCTCTGTGTGTATTTTTTTCAGTGCAAAGATCGAGATGCAGGTGAGAAATTCAGAGCACAACACTGCACCAGACATCCTCCCACCTCCCACTCTGTCTTCTCTTCCGCCCCTGAAATCAGTTTCTTTCTCACTGCCGATGTTTACCTGCACAGTTGCTCCTAAAACAAATGACCAGATTTTGTAATGTAATTCACTATATGCACTTATACTGTTTATTAGCATGCTGCAAGTACCAGCTAGTATCGGCTTTGAAAACATTGATCTCTCCCTGCAAAATAAGAACTGGCCAAGTGTTTTTAGTTAAATCTTTTTGAGAACTCATCTATCTGATGATTTTCACATAACTCATCTATCTAATTGGCTTTATGTTATAATTATGATTATTACACCTTTTAGTGCTGCAATTAACACGTATTTTCATTATTAATTAATCAGATAAATATCTTTCCAATTCCTTCTTCAAACAAAAATGGTAAAAAATATGTTCCTCACAATTTCAAAGAGCCACAGGTGAGGTTGAGGTTTTACATCGCTTATTTTGTCAGAATAATGGTCCAAAACACAAAGAAACTCCATTTATAATGATAGAAAACGGGGAGAAGTCTCTGTTAATGGACACTTTCTTTAAGCCCTATACCTTTTTCATGGTTGTGGTACTGTAGATGCAGTATTGGCTGTGAATGTGCACACACATACTCATTTTAGTTATTCTATACTTCCCTCTATCAGGTTGTTTGTCTGGATTGGCAACAGGTTTTTACATGAATTGCCACTGGCATGGTGTCATGATTGTATTTCCTGGTGTCAGAGGCAATCTGGCTCAGTCAGAGAAGAAGGTGTACCTGGTAGCTATTAACTGATTTTATCATTGCAACTGAGACTCAATCTATATATGAAGGTATCATGTTAAGAGTATAAGTGAAATAAAATCAAAATAGATTGCATAAAATAGCATTTTAGTAATAAAGTAAATGCAGTAAAGTAGAGGCATTGTATTTCTTCCTCCCTCCTTCTGCGGCTTTCTGTCCCTCAATCTTTCTCCAACAGAATATGAGTAACATGCAGCATCCTTTCAATTGTGTGTGTGTCTGTGTGTGTGTACACCACACAGAGGGCCTTTAATCTCTCATAAACCTGGCTTCAACACAGATTTTTCCACCCCTCCATCCATTATGCTGCAGAAAATCATTTCTGACTGAAGATGCATTAAAATCAATAGACATTTGATTGCCCCGGCCCTTGGCGTTTCATAATATTTCGACGCGGCTCTCTTTGTCTGTTTTCAAAGGTGCGCTAACACTTGGCTTGTCCTTGTGTGGATAGGAATGCAATTCATGCCCCCAAGACTCAATTCTCCACGGCCCTGTGTCTTTAGAAGTCATATTCAGGCAAGCTAGCACATGTCAGGCTGCCAGCCTCAGTGCTACAGCACTGGAACAGACCCTGAAAGAGAAGAAAGCCTGATATTGATGTAAGAGCTTTCAATACAATGTTGTTGATGTCTGTATTATTTGCCTTAAGCTTTACCCTTTTCTTCATGCACTCACTAGAAGTTCTTTTTCTCACATTGTATTCCTGCACAACACTATCGCCACACAATGCAGAGAAAGATTGCGATACGAACTCGGCATTTGTTTGGCTTGGGTGGGTGCTTCATACCAGACGAGTTATAATTCAATTTCAGTGATTTCTTGGTGAATAATGGGATCAAAGTTGGCCATTGTGCAAAATCAAGTAGTGCTGACTGAGGTCATTTCAACAAACAAATTCGGTGTGATTAAAATGTACTTCTTTAAGTGCCAGTGCAAACCCTTACTACTATATTGTAATATATTACCTACAGAGCATGCCTCAATTAGTCCGTGCACTGGATTGTTGCAGGTGAGGGAAAGTTATACATGGACGTGAATGTCAGGAAATGTTGACAGTGACAATATTACCGATCATAGTATTCTGAAAAGTAAGGGAACAGTTTTCCTTTTCATTTTTTATTATCAATGCGATTAGGACTCGTTTTTATTCAATTTCAATAATGGAAAAAATTTGATTGAATTTTCCTTATGACTTCCCCCAGCAGGCCAGAATACATTGTACAGCAGTAAACAGTGTCACTCCTGCTTATCTCTTATCTAAGAACCTGATAACCAGCCATGCACCAGAGTGCACTGGTGCTTATCTGTAATATGATAATGGGTCCAAATGATATGCAAGGGCAGTACACTGGTGACAAGGGGTGTGTGTGTGTGTGTGTGTGTGTGTGTGTGTGTGTGTGTGTGTGTG